ATTTAATACATTAATAAACAACATAATGCCCATGTAAAGAAAATAGGGGATGTGGCCCCCGCTGCAGTATGCGTCCCTTATTTTTTTGTATTAAAAGTGGTAACCCTAGTTGCAGGTATCTCAGGTACCTTCTAAAGTGTTATTCTAAGTCTTTGATAACTGCATAGCTGCGGTACAGTTATACAACGTGAAGATTAACAAATTCTTCATTCTTACGGTTCGACCGCTGGAACATTGCGCTAACAAGGTTCAGATGTCTGTAAATTGTAACCTTTCATTGTACTTTGGATAAAATCGTCACATTAATGAGTGTAATGTAATTCCATGGATATTTTAGCAGTCATGTTTGAGTTCAGTAGTGGGTTTTAAGATACTGCTGCGAAAAGGCTATATGGTGCTGAGGCTTATATGCTGTGTTGCTTATAATTTATATGAACGTTTTGTATCGTGTGGAGGTCCTGGCTCGTCAGTCTCGCGGGAGACTATCGTGAACACTGGGCACTCCCACTGACTAAACAAGGAGCACTTTAAACAACAGATGGAGACAGCATATAACGCTATATAAAGTCAATCCTACACAATACGGACAAAAGTATTGGGACACACCTCTCAAGCATTGAATTCAGGTGTTTCATTCAGACCCACGTAGTATTAACAAGGGTTAGGGAGACGGTTGGTTGAGTTTGGCGTGGAAGAACTTGTCTGGCCTGCACAGAGCCCTGACCTCAAACTCAATGAACATCTCTGGGATGAACTAGAACAGAGATTGTGAGTCAGGCCTTCATGTCCAATATCAGTGCCTGACCTCACAAATGCTCTTCTGGATGAATGGGCAAAAATTCACAGACTCCCTCTGGGAAGCTTTCAGAACAGTGGCAACTGGGGGGGGGGGGCAACTGCATATGGATGCCTATGGATTTAGAATGGAAGTTCCTGTGGGTGTAATGGGCAGAGGTGCCAATACTTTTGTCGTTATATTGTACCTTCCACCATTGGACTCAACAAGAAGTCACCCTAGGGGGCGCCAACTGTCTAAATGGATCTGAACGGGTTAGACACATTTCACATTCACAGCACATTGCTAACCCACCATGCAATTCTATTTATTTCTGAGCCGTTACTATGGAATTCCGTGCAATACTTTACCTGACATTCTTTGCACTGTTACTGCTTATTACCATTTATTTATTTGTAAATGAATGGTACTAGATTATTAAATTACTCAATACTACATTTTAAAATTAACTGTAAAATCTGAGCATCTATGCGTCTATTAAGATAACAAATACCAGGAAACTATACAATTCACCAATAATGTGCATTTAAACCAATGCAAAATGTAATTAGGAAAATTATTATTAAAAGATTGCATGTTTATTTCAGTTCATTCATTTAGTTCCTTTAGCAAATATATATGCAATTTTCCAACAGACAAAAAAAAAACCTTATACAAACTCAGACAACCTAAAACAGTTCATATCCTTTATTTAAACAAGATTGCAAGGTACATAAACAGCAATTAAGAAAAGGCAATACTAAAATAAAATTATCCAAAGAAGTGTTTGAAAAAAAAGAAAAAGAACTACAAGCGAACGTGTATTAATTTTATTATACAAATGATGGAGGGGAACGGTACGTCAAACCCAGGGTGCCCACTTTGTTATGGGGAGCGTATAAATAAAGTATCGCATTTGACCATAAAGTAGAATTTGGCACATCTCCACATGGACTGTCTGGGGGTGCTTTGCAGCGTGGTCATCAAACAATAAGCAGGTAAGCAAATCAACAAAAGACCTGGGAGGAACAAGGAGCCAGAGAGACACAGACACATGGATGTCATCTGATACACTACAGAATGAGCAGCTTCACACTGGTACCATTACAAGACCAAAAAATTTCTGACAAGTAGTTTTAATTTTTAAGGAAATTTAATAGACACATTACATATTTAATACCAAACATTACGTCGACCCTATAAATCAATTTAGAGATGCAAGTACAAATAAGGTAGTGAGTCACGTCACATTTCCATACAATTCCACTTTCAATGCTGCATTGAGCACAAACCTGTAAATAAACCCAAATCGAGCTGGGAATGCCAAGTATATGCAGAAATTAGTCTGGGAAAACCACTAGATGTTATTTGAATAGGGGGGGTCAAATATTTAATAGAAGCACAGTGGGCTAAATCAAAACCACAGAAATATGAAAAGAGAAATACTGCTCAAATACTAAAATTTGAGCTTATTTATGCATTTAACTTAATCTGAATGTACATACGCATTTGCAAGCTATTTTTCAAGCCCTATGGCGGAAGCAAAACCCTTGGTATTTTGTCAAGAGGGTCAAATCCCGAAGTTAACACAAAAAACGCGAAGACACACACACACACACACACACACACACACACACAGGCCACATTGAGCGGTATGGGTCATTTTACAGCAGTGTCTTAGACAAGCCCAAGACGCATTTATTTATTTTAAACAGCATGTATAATGTGTAATGACACCAAGAAACTCACTCACACACACCAAATACCAGCACATTAAGCCAATGGAAAGATGAAACTTGTATTAAAGGCATCAGATGCACAAAACATTTCCATAATCACTCTACAGACTATTAAAAAAACAACTTGAAATGATGCATTTTCACCGTTCAAGGAGTGAATTTCAAATTGCCTTTATTTTTCCTGAAATTACCTTATTAACTTTACGCATCTCAAAAATAATGTTTTTTTCCTTACAACATCAGCACCCCAAGTTGCTCCAAGAAGCAGCAAAGAATCATCTGAAATAAGGAAGCTGAACTGCTGCAGTCCACATGAATGCCGGTGTGTCTCTAATTTAGGAAGAATCGTGTTATATGGGAAAATATAGGTTTGTCCTTTGATAATTTTTATACGGACATGAACAATACCGCTTCCTCCTAACAGACGGATGCATATTTAGAGAATATTTGCAAAATTGCCAATGTAGATGATATTTGTCGTGTGTCCTGATTTTATCATTAACATTTGTCTACTACAATAAACTAAACCGATTGAAAATGAGGTTTAACATTCCTCCATATATAATGACAAAATTCTGTTCTTTATTTGTCAGTGGAAAAAATCCATCCATCCATCCTGGAGCAGCTTTTACGACGGCCTGGGCAAACGCATCAAAGGTTGAACATTTTGCTATAATGAAGTAATTTTCCCTTAAACTGGCACTTAAGAAACCTGATGGTTTCACTGCTGATCATTAAGCTCAACTGTGATTTTATGTGATTTTGGTGAATCATGACTGTTCTGTATTTGTCCATGTGCTGGTTATATATATAAACTAAATTAAGTTGTTTAACCATCAATAAGCAGTCTACAGTTAATCAGTAAGTACAACATTTAGATAAGCTCACTAATGTTACTTATTACAAGTTAAAAATCCTAAATTTGATTAACCACAATTTTTAGTAAATGTAATATCCGTCTGTTTCACAACAGCTCAATCAAGCATCAAGACTAGAAGTCAGACGTTCTTACGAATAATAATAATAATTGTGGGATAGGTTACTGTGCATAATGTTCTGCACTATTCCCATCTGTTTTACCGTATGCAGAAGCTTGGACTGTTGATGCCAAGTGGTGAGAAACCACAGAGTCGCCCAGCGTAGAAGACCAGCTTTTCAGATGTTTTAAAGGCCTGGTGTAAGTCATGGTTAACAGAAGCCCACTATATCTTCTCGGCGTAGAGCCCAAACGCCACCCAAGGTTGCCCCGTTTCTCAAAAAGCTCCAAGCTCTAGCCCCTTGCCTAGTTTTGGACGCCGTTAGCTATACTGATACTGAATGCCTGGTAGATGTTTAAAGCTACGACATGGTGCAGAGGTCCTAACATCAAAATATACGTGCTGGACCGCAATATAGGGACAGAACTAGGGAGACATCGCCATCTGGTGGCAAAGTCTGTCGAGGCAGCTTGCGCTTCTACAGCAGCTTGCGAACATACAGCACTGTCAGAAATGTGCCGTCTCCACATTCAGGACCAACGTTTGCATCTTAAGGAACACAGTTTCCTATGCTTGACAACAGCACCATTTTTTAAATGAATGCCTATTTAATATTCAGGATAATTAAGGCCAGAAAAACCCGAACAAGGCTAGTTTGCTTTTTCTTTTTTTATAAACCACTGAATGGCACAATGACATTAACACCCAACCCAGTCAACAGACATTGTGGAAGGAAACGAGGAGAGAGAGAAGGGGGGGGGGGACTCGTTCACAGCACATATTCGCTCAAGCAGCTTTGCACCAAACCAATTGTGAAGCAGAGAACACGCATGATATACGACTCAGGCCCATCTCTACAGCTGAGCCTCGCTTATGGGTTTGACTTTGTGCCCCCTGCCCCCACCCTCTGTGCCCCACCCCCCCTCACCCTCACCCAGGACCTCAGATATAAATTTTTCCCACCAGTCCACCACTAAGTCCCAGACTGGCTGCTCCACGAGCCCCCGGAACTGGCTGCGAGTTTCCAGGACCTTCGCAGTAACAATGGTATCTGTGGGAAGGGGAGGGGGGGCAGGGCCTAGAATGACCGTCCATCTCCATCACATGACCTCGCAGCAAGAGTTCTGCTTCCGTGCCTGACGGACACACACACAAACACAGTTAAACATGAAGTTAAACCATGGTCTAACCGTAACAAGTCAAAAGCATCTGAACCTGCCGTCTAAAAATTATTTAATATATTGCTAAATATCAGGGATAAGTTTCTGATTAAATATCCATTTCCAAGGTACAAAAGAAGTATCCGGTCCTGGAACAGAAACCAACAACTCTTAACCTGCAGTAATGTATAACTGTTCAGCTGAAAAATAAAAGGCCACCCTAACCACAGCCTTCAAGAGTGCGAGCGAGACGTAAGGTGGTCCGACGCCGGCCCTCCTCACTTACAGTCTTGTAGAAGGCTTTGGACTGCGTGCCAAGGTGCTCTGACTTCTGCACTAGGTCATCCAGCTTCTCCCCTCGCTCCAGGAGTGACTCCATCGTGTTGTGCTGAGGAGAGAGACACGCAGCACTGTAAGAAAGGAGGGAATATGGATGGGTAGGAAGGATGGAGGGGAGAGAAGTGGGTAGAAAGATAGAAATAAAGAGAGAGAGAAAAAGAAAGAAAGGTGGCAGCCAAACATTATTCAGGCACACAGAGGCGTACAATTAGTTGGAGAAACGCACCAAAATGATTTTGGTCTCATCCAGCTCCGCCTGCACTTTGGTCATAGCATCAGCCTCTCGAGGATTCTGGGACAATTGGATAATTTAACCGATTAACAACCACAAAATGGACACTGAAACACACTGCTTGGCACTGCCGCCAAGCAACGACCACCCAGAAAGAGGCTATGAAGTCAGCTGACTGAAGGAGGCTGTGACACAGCGCAGGGTGTTCCCCGTGCTCCGCCCTGCCCCCCCCCGGTCACCTGGTACTTGGCGAGGTAGCTGTCCAAGGCCGTGTAGCTGATGGTGGCTGGAGAGCCAGACGGCCAGTCTATGCTGTCCACCTGCCTGGAGAACTCATCCAGCACCTGAGAAAGAGCACAAAGGAGCAGCACCAACAGAGTGTTACTGACCTGGTAGCAAAGGCAATTTAAAACAGCAGAATACTAATAAGATAGGCAGGCAAATGTAATAGCACATAATAAAAGAAACATTATTAATACTGTTGTGAATAATAACAATAATAATATGAAGACATTGCGATAACAATCAGTGCTACATCTAAGAATGCCATTGAGCTATGGACGCGCACCTTATCCAGCAACGTGAAGCACACCCGCGAGGGATATTCACCGTCCGCAATCACGACGCCACCGAGGGAGTCGTTCCTGACGTACACATGGCACAGGTACTCTGGCAGGAGAAAACAACTGTCAAAAGCTGGTAGGCCTATCCTCAGCAGCCTCCCCCAGAAGTGTGTCGCCTATCCTCAGCAGCCTCCCCCAGAAGTGTGTCGTAACAGCCCTAAGCAGATAAGTAAGGTTTACAGCAAAGAACAAAATATGGAGAACACAGAATATGCCATTTTCTCAGTTACGGGAGAAAGTTAACAATAATGTATCTAAAGCCGTTTAGTCTAAAGACCTGACAGAGAAACCCTGCAATCTAAATCAGAATCACTACTGCTGCAGCCCCAATTCTAAGCACTGGCAAGTGACAGCCATGGATTAATGTCACCCAAAGCATGGTACCATTCATTAAATGGGGAAACACCAAAGCCTCACGGAGACAAGCTCTAGTGAAGACCTGCAATTTAATCCCTCCTCTTCCAGTGATCATAAAGAAAAAAAACTCTGAAACCTAGATTAATGTCTCAAAGCACCGAGTACAGAGATAAAAAAGACGTCATTTTAGGCCATTTCCCATGATCCAAACATTTTCTTTGTTGAGGTAATTTCCTTTCATCTCTCACCAGAGAAAATCACCCCAAATCCTGAACAAATAAACTGATGTGTTTAGTAATAATAATAATATTAATAATAATAATAATGCAAAACAAAAATGTGTGTGTGTTTGGGGGATGTTCTCACAGCACCTGGTTTTAAGACCATGAGCATCTTTGTGGTAACATTTTCCATGAAGGAGGACGACAACCCATCCCCTACCTTGCTCCTTGATGGAGGAGCGTGTCCCGGTCGAGGAGCGTTCTACGATGAGGGCGCTTGTGAACGTCATGAACTCCTGCACACTGAACAGCACATATGAATGATGCAATCTGCTCTTGTCAGGGTACAGACTTATCAACTTAAAGCTTCATGTTTAATGGATAAGAGCAGCTGATAGAAACAGTAGGGCTGCTGTCACATACACAGCTAGTGTCTGGCTCCTATACCTGCCCATTTTCAACTACAATAACAATAGAGGGAACGCAGAATACAGAGACTTGGAAAATCACCCAACAGGCAGATCTTTATAAATGACTTAAGTTCATCAGTCCTACAACCATACAATACAGAGTCAGCATAATTATTTAAGGCTGTTTTAAAGATAACAATACAGATAAGACAGCATGGACTGTACCACCTACCTCGACCTTTGGAAAAAGCTGAAGGAAGAAAGATCATACGCAGCTTTGAGCAAGTTGGATTTATTAATTCCTTTGTAAAGGACACTCAGGCTGTACAGCTTCATGTTGACTCTGCTCGCGCCCCCCGGGAGCCCCTGCATCAACAAAGTGATATTCAGACCAAGTGTCGCCTGTCCACATGCAGCAGAGACTCGCGATCGCTAAAATGTCCCCCAGTGGCAAAGGACCAAAATAAAATCACACTCGCAAAATCAGTTATATTAAATTGTTGATTATTTCCTGACTAGTGACTCTCAAGAAGCACTACTGAACTTCAGAGCTGGATAAATGAGGGTCCTCTACTTCCCAATCTTACCTTAACTAGCATCGCCCTTGATTATTACTACAAACTTATATGAAGGGAACAAGAGAACCGAAATGGATCAATGAACTTTTTAAATATACATCAACGATACTAATAGCTTCGTGATCATCAGTCATATGTGTCAAAAAGACTAACGAACGAAACCGAAACAAGTATTCAGGACAGATTAAGAACAGCTAAATTAGATCAAATGCAAATTACATTATGTTGGCAAGCCAACAGAACAACAGTTCTGGGAAAACGCTTAACAAGGTAGGTTTCCTTCAAAAATACAACGTTACGCCCATACTTAGTTAGATCAGTGGTCTGCCAAACACCTTGTTAAAAAGGCCAGCTAAAGCAGGTCACTAGTCCTTTGTACGGCGTGCACTAAATTTGCCTAAACTGTGTTATTTTTCTTGCTATTAAGATAGAAATGCAGCTGGTCGCCCCAAATCCTAGCTACCTTTTTCTCACGCCTTCAGCAGTCAACTCCGAAAGAGGAACAGATTAAACACTTGATATTCGTGCGAGGACACTTCAGCAATAAAAGAAGCAAAAAAACATACAGAAATAGAAATAAAAAAATAAACAATTCAACTGACAATTACTCCAATCACTCACTAAAGGTCCAAAGACAGTCAATCGGATAGGAAACAGAAACTCCCTTCTTTTCCTTTTTTGCCGGACCACGTCAAAAGCGGAAAGACGCGCCCCCGCCAAAGATTCCGACCAACAACACAGACACGCGTCAATAGTTCCGGACAGTTTGAGAGTTGTCCTTACAAACTGAATGATTAATAGTAAAATTATTCATGCTACATGAATCAGTAGTTTATATGTTTTATGTGGTAACATTATTGTCATTACTGCTGCTACTCATTTATTATTAATTTATTCCTAACGTAGACCTGTTATTAACTAAGAGTTCTTTCTAACGGCAGCTTTCAGGTTAAGTCTCGTTTAGTACATTAACAGTAAGCATTCACCAATATAAACTAATTTGAACGCGTGTGTTCATAATATATAAATTGAACTAAAAAGTTTTTAAAAGAAAAGTTGTTATAGCAATAAATACAATCACTTTATTCAATTGCCTTTATTTCTTTAAATTAACTTACATTTCGAATGGAATAACGCTTAATTAATATTGTGACAGTGGCTTAAAAAGAAATGTTGCCATTAAAGTTTGTAACTAATTCAGATCGATGGTTTGCTATCCATTTAAATTTGAATAAACTATTCTGTTTTTAATGTCATGAAAAGGATGTCAGTTCATATTTGCTTTTTTACATTTTTTGTGCAGCATCTTATCATTATTATGTCTCTTTCAAATTTTCTTTCGTTCCAGTTTACTATTTATTGCGTTATCATTATTCGAAGGCAGTGAATCCTGAGTTTCCATGCTAATGGCTTGGGCAGTTCATCCCTGACAGACCTACGTAGGTTGCTATAGTAATAGGTTGTAATGTCCAAGCAAATACTGAAACCTTTGTTTATTCGCACGACCAAAGGCTAAGGAAACAATCTTTCAAAACCAGTCAAATTGTCTTGCATCACTTGCGTGCATACACACATTTAAATGTGGGGTACTAAATAATCGAGATGAGACTAGAAACTGAAATTACACACAACATGAGACAGAATTTCGGGGTCGTTTTTCATTTCTACGTTAATAAAGTTATTCTGCACAGCATGAACCAATCGCTTTAAATATTAAATTTGTTTTAACACGCTTTGTTCCGTTTGGCATATTGGGTCATGGTATTATCTAAATTAACTAAATTAACATGGGCCGGCACGCAAACTTGCAGCTTTCACTGAGTTTGACCAACCGTGATAATCGTCCACTTAGAGGCACTTGGCAGACATCCGGGTTTCCTCAGTGTTTGGGTTTACATAAATAATGAGAGAACTTGGGATTTTCCACAAGTGTACGCGACTACCAGTAACCGATTCCCTTCCACGAGTTTCTTAAACCTTGATTTAAGTTATTAGGATTGTGAAACAAATGCAATGAGTTATACGCCAATACGTAAGCCTATTAAGTGTGAGAATTAGTGTGAATGCACACTTTATGAACGTCTAAATCCTTTTATACTTAATAAATAATTGGAGATTTTATTACGGTTTTGCATGTACAAAGCAATCTGAGACCATCTAGCCATTTGTGTAGTATTTGTAACGCTTAGTCTGCAACTTTATATCAAATTCTGTTGAGTGACCTTGTCGCTGAACATTTTTTTCCTGATAAAAGTATTAGATAATTTAAAAGTAAATAAAACAGAACAAAAGTGCATGTCAAGCAACGTGGAAAAAATTCAGGAGATGAAAATGATTATATAAAACGTTCTCACGTACTGTGCTGGGAAGAAGCGTAATAGCAGCTAATAAACTACCACAGTCTGCCATGTTGTCATATTTGTGGTTCCTAATGCGTATTTTTAAGTTGCTAATCGCGTTTTATTAGTATCATTAATGCTGAATGACACCTTCAGCCCAAGCCTAGCAAAATAAATTACACGCAGAAATTTATATTAGCACAGACGGCGTAAACAACGAAATAGTAATTATTATACTTAATAATCATCTAATTATCTTGAATATTGTAGGTGTATATTTTAACAGTGAAATGCACAAGCAGAGTTGCGTAAGTATTTTAACACACTGACCTTATCATGGCGGAGGGGTTTGTGTGCCTCTGTAATCGTAGGAGCTACAGTATGTTGTCCGGGACAGTTGGGAAGGTCTTCCAGGGCAAACTGGTCCTAGGTGAGCAGCCAGGCAAAGTGCAATTCACGTAGACCCCTATGGAAAATAACAAAAAGGACACCCCCCCCCCCCCTTCCAGGGAGCTTATAGGTAAACACCTGGTGACCAGGTCTCTCCCCTTGGGCCCAGCCGGACAGACCCAAAATATTCTGTGGTTCCCGCCACCTGTGGGCCCACTACCTGCAGGGGAGGCCGTGGGGGGCCAAGTGCATATAGATCGAGTGGCGTTTGAGGGCAGGGGGCCATGGCGGGCCGATCTTCAGCTACTACATCTGTTCAACGTACTGCCTGGGCACTGGAACCATGGTCCTGGAGAAGCTGGACTCCATTCTACTCTGGTATTGAACTTGGTGAGAGGCTCCATGTGGGTCTATTCATAGGCCACCAGTTGGGCCACCAGTTGGGTGCCAGAACATTGGAGGTCACACCTTTCGGGATTAGGCACTGATTGTTGTATCTATTCTATGGCTCCTCTTATTTTGATGTGGGGTGGCAACAGGGGTGCCCAGATGTTCACTTGGGATGGGCTTGGCCACCACTGGCCACCTCTTAGATCCACCCCTGGATGGAGTCCTGGAAGGTGGCCCATCTGGGGACTCATTTGGGGACTTTAACACCCAGTGAAACCTGGAAGGGTGTGATTGGGAGAAAGACGAACGAAGACAGGTAGACAATAGAAGGATGGACCAAACACAAGGAAATGTGGCAGTAACATGCAGACTCACTACAGGCTACTTATCAGGGAAGCAGCCAACAGAAGCACTAGCAAGTAACATGCAATGACTGACACCTGGAATGAGGTCATCAGCAAGCAAGAGGAGCAGGCTATTAGTGATCACACACTCGGGGATGGAGGCTACAGGGAACAGGTTAATGAGATTTATTTTTATCTACCTGTTCAAAAGGATTGTTTCAGAAATACTTGAAGTCTGGGTGTGCATTCATGTAAATGATCAAGATAAATTACGGAAAAAAAACAAATTACGTATGACAGCATATAAAACTTGTTACTCATTTGTCTGCTTGTGCTTGTGGGGCTATTTCTGATCTCTAATGCCAGGTAATTAGCCTGGAACACGTTGCCGGCCATAGCTGAGCACAGATTTTGAAATTAATATATTTTTAAATAATGAAATATACGGAGAAAATATATATTTTCACTTTTAACTTCACACCACGTCACCTCAGGATTACAGGACAGGACATTGACCAGAACAAACATTCACATAATCACTTTTGATCACGGCCAAAGACTGAAGCCACCATTGAGGAGTTTATAGACACCTTTGATTTGAAACTGCTAAAGATGAAACACCGTTTTAACAAAAAAACAGGACAGGAAATATAAATACTCTTTTCTCTCCCACTTTGGTGTTATTCATTACTGAAGTAAATCCATAACTAACATGCACTCTACTCAAGAAGCTTTATTATGTCAATTTATTGGCTAAACCTAATCAAATATATTTTGCAACATATTTTCTTGCATATTCTGTCTGTCGAGCTTTTTTGGGATCTTTTCGATTTATATACATTAAGGGGACCTCCTTCAGAACAACTAGCATCAGCATATTTGCTATTATTGATCATGTACACAATTTTTGTATTACACACATGTATAAGCAATTGTTTTTGTATAACACAACATTTATTACTTTTCATATAATGCACTTTTTTAGCAGATGGGTGACTAATGAGTTTTAAAGGAATTTTTTTAAATGCGAGTATATTTCTGCGTTCAATGACCCATTTGGGTCATTTTTTAACACTAGAAACGTTTTCGTAACAGTGCACCAAAAATAGAATCAGGTTCGGGGTTAAGGGTCAGGAATGAATGATAAGATAAATGAACTTTCTAAAAATAACTCCTCAGCACTCTCTCTTGGCAGCATGTCCTGACTCTGTGGCAATCTGACCCGAGATCAGAGGCTTACCTAGTATGATAAGGCACGGCCTTGACCGCAGGGCTATGGTGTGTAAATCTGGGTATGGTGTGGTGAGTGGGCGTGGTTAGACGAGTGTGATGTAGGTGTGCCTGAATATTACTGGATGCCTGGCCCCTCCTCCCATCGTCCAAGCAGAATAAAATGTTGGGAACCTGCAGCCACACGGTACCGTCGGCCCTGTCAGCGCTCGAGCAGCTCTGCTTACTCTCTGGCACATTCTTCACCGCGACCATGCCTTGCGCCCGTTCCTGCCGCCCTCAGCGGATGAGGCTGGCCCGTCGACGCAGCTCCTTGGTGGAGAGAGTCCTCATGGTAAGGCGGGGTCCGTCTTTACGAAGGTCCGTCCCTCAGGCGGTCACAGGAAAACGTGCTCCTGACACAACACCGTCGAGGAGACCGATCTGAGCTAAGTAGCTAAGTCAGCCTGATGGAATGTTTAGTGCAAGAACATTAGTGCTGATATATCTCTGAATTTGCTTTTTTTTTTGGAATAAGTTGGCTAATGAATGTTCATCCTTTCACCCATGTTCCATACCCACTTAATGATATAGAGATAACATAAAGGGATTCAAAGTGTATTTATAGCGGAAACAGAAGAAAAAAATGTTGTGAGGAAAGAACGTGTAATGATAACCCCTCCACCGGTGGCTGTCCCAGGTGGATCAGATACTGTCCGAGTTGAACCTGGAGAAGGCCGATCTGGAGGAGGTCATGCGTCGACTGCAGCGTGAGATGGAGCGGGGGCTGCGCTTGGAGACCCACCAGGAGGCCAGCGTCAAAATGCTTCCCACCTACGTGCGCTCCAGCCCCGAGGGCTCGGGTACGTACCACCCCCCTCCACCAGCCCCTCAGGGCCACAGTATGGCCACAGCAGGTACAGGAGTACTGAACCTGCATTATCAGTTTCACTGAAGGTGAGGTGTTCCTCACAGAGGTGGGAGATTTCCTGGCCCTGGACCTTGGGGGGACAAACTTTCGAGTGATGCTGGTGAAAGTTGGGGAGGACGAGGAGACTGGCTGGAAGCTGGAGACCAAGCAACAGATGTACTCAATCCCGGAGGACGCCATGACCGGCACAGCAGAAATGGTGCGGTTTGGGCCAGAGCCAGTCAGTCTGAAAGGCGCCGTTACTCCTCAGCGCTGGCTGTTGACCTTCCGTCTCTCTTACTCCCTCCCTGTCGCCCTGTGAAGCTCTTTGACTACATTGCTGAACGCATCTCTGACTTCTTGGCTAAACACCAGCTGAAGCACAAGAAGCTGCCCCTCGGCTTCACCTTCTCCTTCCCCGTGCGGCATGAAGACATCGACAAGGTGAGGGGTGTGGTGAGGGATGCAGTGAGGGGTGCGGTGAGGGGTGAAGTGAGGGATGCGGTGAGGGGTGTGGTGAGGGAATGCAGTGAGGGGTGAAGTGAGGGGTGCAGTGAGGGATGTGGTGAGGGGTGCGGTGTGGGATGCGGTGAGGGATGCGGTGAAGGGTGCGGTGAGGGGTGCGGTGAAGGGGTGTGGTGAGGGATGCAGTGAGGGGTGAAGTGAGGGGTGCAGTGAGGGATGTGGTGAGGGGTGCGGTGTGGGATGCGGTGAGGGATGCGGTGAAGGGTGCGGTGAGGGGTGCGGTGAAGGGGTGTGGTGAGGGATGCAGTGAGGGGTGAAGTGAGGGGTGCAGTGAGGGATGTGGTGAGGGGTGCGGTGTGGGATGCGGTGAGGGGTGCGGTGAGGGGTACAGTGGCGGCTTGCCGGCGCGGACACTCTGAGGAACAGGAGCTGTGGCCGTGACGTATCCCCTGCTCCCTTCTCCCAACCTTTATCCAGGGAATCTTGCTGAACTGGACCAAGGGTTTCAAAGCCTCGGGAGCAGAGGGCAACAACGTAGTGGGACTTCTCCGGGATGCCATCAAGAGGAGAGGGGTGAGTCAGCTACTGCTGGTCAGCTGATGTATGTAGTTAAACTTTAACTAGCAAAGTCAACTGGAATGTTTAAAATCCATCCATCCATCCATCCATCCTGCACCAACAGCTTATCCTATTAGATATACTGAGTGACTGAAATCTGTTTTTCTCAGGACTTCGAGATGGACGTGGTCGCCATGGTGAATGACACCGTAGCAACCATGATCTCTTGCTACTATGAGAACCGCAACTGTGAAGTTGGCATGATTGTAGGTAAGTGGCTGATCTTGGAACATGCCCTGGGGCATCATGGGAAATTGCTTCACCCAACATCTTGTTAAGTGCCGATTGGCTGGGTTCCTCCTAGGCACCGGGTGCAATGCATGCTACATGGAAGAGATGAACATGGTGGAGCTGGTGGAGGGTGACGAGGGGCGCATGTGTGTGAACACCGAGTGGGGAGCGTTTGGGGACAATGGCGAGCTGGAGGAGTTTCGCCTGGAGTACGACCGCAAGGCAGATGAAATGTCCCTCAACCCTGGCCAGCAGCTGTAAGTCACTCCCATTGCATTCCTGGGCTACTTTTTCTCTAGTTTCTTATTTTACATCTTCTGACATGTCCATGTACATTTCCATTGGTTTCTCCCAACACACAAACCCACATACATCTTCATTCTTTTCATCCAAAACACATGGACACGTCACACAAAGGACAGACTATTGGACATCTAGCACTGACAGCCTTGCGTCCTGCAAGCTCAGTGCACATTAATCCATGTTAAAACGCATGATCTCCAGTTCAACTTCACACAAACAGCCTTCAGGGTGCAATTAGGGGACAGGAAGCCATGTGTTTTGTGTTCCTAAGAAGACCAAACCTTTGTCCAGAGATGTCCATCAGGCTAACTCACCTCAGCTGATCCTTCCCTCTGTTGGCTCTCGCATTGTTTCCTGGCAGCCAGGTTGTTTTTTATGACGTCCTGTCAGTAGGCCGCCATAAAGCCCCCATCAATCTGACTCGCGGACTGCAGACCTACGGGCCGCGACGCTAATGGATGTTTGCTAAGCACCGTAATAGCGGCCAGGGTGGCATATGGCGAAGGCGGTGTGTTTGACGCATCGCTTCTCTCCTTGTGACGCAACTCCTCACCCGCAGCTTCGAGAAGATCATCAGCGGGAAGTATATGGGCGAGCTGGTGCGCCTGGTGCTCCTGAAGCTGGTCAACGAGGACCTGCTCTTTCACGGCGAGGCCTCTGAGCAGCTGAGGACCAAGGGCAGCTTCGAGACCCGATTCGTGTCACAGATCGAGAGGTAAGCCGAGACCGGGCCACCCAGCAGGCCCCCCAGGACTGAAGCGGAGCAGAGTCCTCATGACCAAACCTCCGTCCATTGTAGCTCTTCCATTTCCATTGGACTGTGTTCACCTTGATGCCTTTAAGAGAAATTTCACTCTCTGACATCATCAAGAGATCATTTTTTTCAATTTATATCGGAAGTAGAATTCATACACTTAAAAACGTTTGTGTTTTATGACCTCTCTACATTTCTGGCATGTCCTGCTTTAAAGGAAATGCAGTTGTTTTGATACCCTCTTCCATATTCCTGATTGTCTCACTCTGTTTTTTGTTATTGGTTTTATTGTTGAAGGTCAAGACCAGAGTTTCTCAACCCAGTTCCCGGGGAACCCAATACAATCCACATTTTTGCTCCCTCACAATTCCCAGCCAATCAAGAACACCAAATACCTAACACTGGTGTCTTGGGAGGTGGGAGGGTGCAAAAATGGCAGACTGTTTGGGGGTCTCCAGGGACAGAGTGGAGAAACACTGATCTAGATAATGGTGCATTAAACGTATTACTTATGAAAACAAAAAGAAAGCAAAACAATCTTTATTAATTTTGTTTATTTGTGTATTTTCCCTTTTAACAAGAAGCCTTAATTGAAAATAGTTATATAAACTATTGCACATTAAACTATAATTTATTATAGATGTACTATTACCAGGTACCATGCATCCCATAATTACGTTACAGGGCTTCATTATAAGAAGTGTTTGCTCTCTTCACAGTGACTGTGGTGACAGGAAGCAGATATACAACGTCCTGACGACGCTGGGACTGATGCCTTCTGAGCTGGACTGCGACATCGTGCGACTGGTGTGCGAGCGTGTTTCCACGCGGTCCGCTCACATGTGCGCGGCTGGGCTTGCCGGCATCATCAACCGCATGCGGGAAAGCCGCTGCCAGGAACTGCTGGAGATCACTGTGGGCATCGACGGCTCCGTCTACAAACTGCACCCCAGGTAACCAAGGCAGCAAAAAGCCACGTGTCACTGGTTTTTGATGGAGGATTGTTTGTAGCCAGACGTCATGCATTTTGGTGACAGCATCAGTAATATTGTCCTTTAAGCTCCCCCAAATGTTCTCTATTTCCGACCCTGATGTGAAATTCCCTCCCCAGTTTTCAGGAGAAGTTTCATGCGGTTGTCCAGGAACTGACACCTGGGTGCGACATCACCTTCATCCAATCAGAAGAAGCGAGCGGACGAGGGGCGGCGCTAATCTCTGCGGTGGCTTCCAAGATGGCAGCCACGTGATGCGCTGCTAAAAGGGTGCCATTCAGCCTCCTGCCACTTGGGGGTGGAAGAGGACTACGATTTTATTGACTATGAAATGGATTGTTCCTCACTGTTCTCCAGCGGGGTCGTTACTGTGCGGGAGGATTTAGGTTGTCGTGGGAAGGAATTGTCTTTGCTGACCCTCGGTTTATATAAGAAGATTCAGAAGAGGATCCTAAAAAGTGATGTTTTTCAGGCACAAAATCTTGCTACTATGTCCTTCTATGTAGCTCCAGACACAGTCCTTGTTAATGCAGCAGAACACTGTTATTTATTGTTTATTTAATTTCTTGAATGTTTTCTACATGTTTATCTGCGTATCTGCTAAAGTTGTCAGTTCTACTAATGCTTGTTAACTCTGCCTTTGCAGGAAAAGCCGGCAAGATATTGTACAGTACTGCATTTGAAGCGTAAGCCTTCTGTGTTAGATAGATTATGTAATCTTACTGGAATTCAGTAAATATGATTTGTTTATCAAACAGGAGATGGTATGTCAGCAATCTGAATCCACAAAAATGGTTGTTATATTTTGTATTATATGGTCTATGATCGTGAAGTATTGTAGGACCAGCATTTGAGAATGATGTTTTGTAAATAAGTTTGTGAAACTGGATTAAATATTGACAATAAACACATCCTGTTTCAGAATTCTTCATTCACATCCTTTCCCAAGACTCACTACTCAGTTTGGTTGCCTATGAGTTTCCCTCATATCTTTGTTTTGTTCCTCTCCTCCATTTTGTTAAACCCGTCTTCACCCCCTCAGTCCCCATTTCACCCCACCCTCCAGGCACCTTAATTTGCAGGGGGGGTGGGGGGGCTCCTTCAAATCAACTTTCCATTTACTCACAGCTGAGCTGGTTCTCTGGAAAAATCTGTCAGTATAGACTGTTATTTTGCTCCTTTCCAGTGTCACTACAGTATAACAACTAACATTTTTTTTCAATTATTTCATGCATCCAATAAACTGTGTATGTAATAAGCAAATAATTAACACAAGAGAAGATTGCATTTCAATAACAAAAACCCATCTGTGCATTAAACACATAAATCACACATCTTTTTAACTGTTGTTTCAGATTCCAGGAAATGTGACTATAACTGGGTGGGGTGGTTTGAGTCTGCCACCCAAAAAAAGAAAAACACCAACCAACAAATCCAAAATGTTAAATTTCTCTCAGTACTTTAATGAGCATTTCAGAAAACCACCAATAAAAAGTAAGGCATGCTCATCATTGGAGTCATCTCATTTCTCCACACCGCTTTGGTGTAAAAATGACATAAGTGAGATGCCACCCTTAACCACTGTTATTTTTTACTACCACTCTGTCTGGCTTTGGAAAAGTATCAGATAAGAAGGGTTAGGCTTAGGGTTAGGCTTATTGTGAAGCAAAGAAGAAACTTCTGTTTTGGATTTGTGACAAGCTCTAGTATTGGTTGAATACAACATTTCCATTCAGGTTAGTCTCCTGTAATCAGTTTTACTGGTTTGTACATATTTTTTTGTTTTTAGGTACATTCATGGTTTGGGCCTGAAAAAACACCTTTTTGTATTTACATCCTGGAGAGGATGAGCTATTATCTATCCTCTGAAGCTGCACTGACACAGGCAGGCACATCTCTGCTCAGCAGACTGTGTTTCCTGTCGCTGGGGGGGCTTTCGAAGATGCTCCACTACATGTGTGGGTATGAAAACGGCCAAGGGAGAAGCATTATGGATATTTCTGTATTCCCAGTGGGACATTCAGCTAAGTTTATTTCACATACATAAACACACATATTATATATATGTGGTATATAGGAGTGTAGGGTTATTGACTGTTCAGGTGTGGGTCTGAGGGGCTGAATGTTTATTTTTTAAGTATTTAGGATATTGTGTCATTGGATTGTATGTTTTTTTTTTTTTTTGGTGTTTTGAGGCATTTTTAATTCATAGGGGGTCCCAGCTAACCCCGCTGTGACTGTAGCCAATCTCAGTAATCGTCTATGATGTACTCAAAGTTGTAGTCCTGTGTCGGCCATGTGTCCTGGAGCTGCTCACTAAGGGCGGTGACGGACGGGTAGGTGGTGTCGGTCAGGAGTTCGTAGGTGGTGGTGGGAGGCAGGGTGGTGGTAGGGGGCAGGGTGGTTGTTGGGGGCTGGGTGGTGCTGGGGGGGAGAGTGGTGGACATGTTTGCCCTTAACCTCTGCTGCCGCAGCTTCTGCAGCTGGAGCAGCCTCAACCGGCGCAGCTGGGGGTTCCCCACACCGCCCCCAACGCCTCCCCCCACACCGCCCCCAACGCCTCC